CATGCGTAGCGAGCGAGCCTCGGGTCCGAGATGCTCATGCTAAGTATGCTCTGCACCAAGAAAAAGCGATCGGAAATGGAATATAAGGAGAAACGAGTCACGATTCTGATTTCAATTCCGGTTCCAGGGTGATTCCAATTCAGACTTCAATTCCGATTCCGAGGTGATTCCTATTTCAAAACTTTACTTGAAGACATTCGAACGTGCAGCACGCGACACGACTGTTCACTGTTCAACGTGACGTGATATGATGCTCGAGGATTGAAAACGCTGCTAAAACAGATCAGAACGACCGAAGCGTGGAAAACTACGGCGGAAAACTACTACCTCTGTGAGACATTCACAATCACATGATGTATTGATCACACAACGTGACAATCAAATGTCACGCGCTCAAACAAGTGGCAACCACGTGCCATCTAACACGCCGCTTGACTACGAATAGCGACGCCAAGGCACCGCCTGACCAATGTAATCAATAAACGCTAGGGATGGGAATTATGCATGAGAATAGAGCAGTATACATGTACTCTACAAAATACTCAACAAGCTCTCGTTTCACGCAAACAATGCAAAGCACTCGATACCGACGTTGATACTTGCTGCGACGGAAAATTACAAGCTGGGTTAATTACTTTTACTCACAAGTTACCATTTGGTTGTATCAGGAGTTAATAATGACAAATTGTCATTATTAACTCCTGGTTATATATATATATACACACACGAACGCACGAACGCACGCACACACACACATATATGTGAACTGAAAATCGAATCATATCCATGGCTAGTGTTGTCAATCGGTTGTAATTTCGTAATCGATCATCGGTTGGACCCAAGTAACCGATGATCGGTTACAATAGGTTACTCGGGGTGTTGAATGCCTGCGTGTGGCGTAACGTAGTGTGCATGTACGTGTGTGCATGTATGTGCTTGTTTAGCCCTGTTTACTGTTTGTTTGCCACTGTTTACTACTGTGTGTATAATACATGTATGTTAATAAAGGATAACTTGTATAAGTAGCGATGATATCTCTGATTCTCATCACTTTTTCAAGTTTTCTTGTCATTCATTTAATTTTATATTTATTTCGATTTTTTTTTTTTTCGATAAAATCGATTATGGATTTGATAACCAAGCGCTTGGTTCGAGCCACTGTTCAACCGATGATCGAGTATAATCGATGATCGTGACATCCCTATCCATGGCAATAAAATATTTTATTATCCTTCCTGCATGGTTCGCCCACTTCACGGCCCTTCCTATTTAAAATGACATGCGGCATGTGCCCGACCGCTCCCTCCTACAGTGTACAAATGTTTTACGTCGTTCTATATGCACGATTAAACGTGAAGAGAGGAGAAGGAATGGAGTATTCACACAGAATACCATCAATTCCCATGACGACTACAAATAGACTATCCACACATTGAGAATACATGCTGAGGGATCTGTTTTCTACCCCCACCCCAGCAGGATATATATAGTTGCTTTTATGCAGAACAAATACGAAGATAAAGTCTAACAACATTTCCTACTGTATAAAAGTGAAAGCTCGGATTTAGTGAAAATGGGAACGAATTTAAAACGCTGTGGCTATATGCCCGGCAGCCGGGCACGGTCTTCGATTTCCTAAATGCCCGAAAGTTCCTAACCCTAACCCTAACCCTTGTTGACTTGAGGTACCGCTGAAAATTAAAAACTGCCGGGCATTTAGGATATCGAAGACCGTGCCCGGCAGCCGTCAGATATATGCCGGCTGCTGGGCATATATAGCCACTCTGAATTTAAAACGGCTAGTAGGTAATTCACTCTGGTTGAGGGAGGCCTACATGTATGCAAATGAGCTTCAAAAGATGGTCATATATCGGAAAACTGAAGCTCAGCGAGAGGTCATATATCGAACATCCGAAGAAAGAAGTTCGAAATATTTATAGATGGTTGTTAGTAGGGGGTGTAACAATATACCGGTATATAGGTATATTGCAATATATTTTGAAAACTCAATATATCGCGATACAACTTCCGGATATCGATATTTTACGATACGGTGGTATAGCAAGAAATAAACTACTTGACACTTGCCTTTATGTCTATATTGTAAATGGGCTCAAAAATTATGCACTGGCGGTGTATATATTACGAAAGCACAATGCCTGCACGACGCATACTGCATGGATCACTGCGCGGTACTACTGTGCGGGCACACGTGTGAGCGAGCACGTCAACCAGGGAGTATATATATATATAGCCTATGCTCGCCTGAGTGCCCGCGCGCGCGCGTGATACAAGCTGAAGCGAGCGCCCACTATCGTTCAACAAGACTATTTTACTGTGCTGGCGCGCTCGGTCGAGCGCACTGGACATGATGCGGCCATGATGCCGAGGCGAGCCGAGGATTGACACTTTGTGTCCTCCAATCACAGCCTACGCCGCACCTCCCTTTGAAATTTTTCTAGGTGGGGACCCATCACAGTACCAAATCGCTGATCTCAGTAACTCTAGGCCATTCTGCTAGGCTAGAACGGTTTCCTACGATAGAGTTTGGCACAAAAACGAAAATAACATGCCGTTTAGCGCACTGCCGCGCTACATACTTCTGTTGCATTTTCGCATTTTCGTAATCAGAATAAGCCCCGCTTCTTCGTTAATGGGCATGAATGGGGCATCACCGACGTGGCCAGTTCCTATACCGACTGTGTTTACTTTTCGTAAATGCGTAGCGAGCGAGCCTCGGGTCCGAGATGCTCATGCTAAGTATGCTCTGCAACAAGAAAATGATCGGAAATGGAATAAGGAGAAACGAGTCACGATTCTGATTTCAATTCCGGTTCCAGGGCGATTCCAATTCAGACTTCAATTCCGATTCCGGGGCGATTCCTATTTCAAAACTTTACTTGAAGACATTCGAACGTGCAGCACGCGACACGACTGTTCACTGTTCAACGTGACGTGATGTGATGCTCGAGGATTGAAAACGCCGCTAAAACAGATCAGAACGACCGAAGCGTGGAAAACTACGGCGGAAAACTACTACCTACGCGAGACATTCACATGATGTATTGATCACACAACGTGACAATCAAATGTCACGCGCTCGAACAAGTGGCAACCACGTGCCATCTAACACGCCGCTCGACTACGAATAGCGACGCCAAGGCACCGCCTGACCAATGTAATCAATAAACGCTAGGGATGGGAATTATGCGTGAGAATAACGCCCATTCAGCAGAGTCTGTATACATGTACTCTACAAAATACTCTACACGCTCTCGTTTCACTCGATACCGACGTTGATACTTGCTGCGACAAATTGTCATTATTAACTCCTGGTTATATATATATATATATATATATACACACACGAACGCACGCACGAACGCACACACACATATATGTGGACTGAAAATTGGACCATATTCATGGCAATAAAATATTTTATTATCCTACCTGCATGGTTCGCCCACTTCAGCGGCCCTTCCTATTTAAAAATTACATGCGGCAGTTGCCCGACGCTCCCTCCTACAGTGTACAAAATGTTTTACGTCGTTCTTTATATGCACGATTAAAAGTGAAGAGAGGAGAAGGAATGGAGTATTGACACAAAATACCATCAATTCCCATGACTACTACAAATAGACTATCAACACATTGAGAATACATGCTGCTCGAGGGATCTGTTTTCTACCCCCACCCTAGCAGGATATATAGTTGCTTTTTATGGGGCAGAACAAATACGAAGATAAAGTCTAACAACAATTTCCTACTGTATTAAAAGTGAAAGCCAGGATTTAGTGAAAATGGGAAGCGAATTTAAAACGCGTGGCTATATTGCCCGGCAGCCGGCACGGTCTTCGAGTTCCTAAGCCATAACCTAAGGCTACCCTTGTTTACTTGAGATACGCTTGAAAATTAAAAACTTGGCGGCATTTTAGGAAATCGAAGACCGTGCCCGGCAGCCGTCAGAATATAATTATGCGGCTGCTGGGCATATAGCCACTCTGAATTTAATAACGCTTAGTTAGGTAGCATGTTTCAGGAGTGATGCAACCCACTACACACCTTCTTTAATTCTTAATTCAACTCTGGTTGAGGAAGGGCCCTACATGTATGCAAATGAAGCCTTCAAAGATGGTCATATATCGGAAAACTGAAGCTCAGCGAGGAGGTCATAATATCGAACATCCGAAGAAAAAGTTCAAAATATTTATAGAATTGGTTGTTAGTAGGCCGTTCACGATATGACAAGTATAATCGGTATATTGCAATAATTTTGAAAACTCGATATATCGCGATACAATTCCGATATCGATATTTTACGATACGGTGGTATAACAAGCAAAGTAAACTACTTGACACTTGCCTTTATGTCTGATATGTTAATGGCTCAAAAATTATGGCACTGCGCTGGTGTATATATTCGATAGCACAATGCCTGCCACGACGCCATACTGCATGGATCACTGCGCGGTAGCTACGTGCCCGGGCACACGTGGAGCGCAGCACGTCAACCAGGGAAGTATATATATATATTAGCCTATGCTCTGCCTGAGTGCCCGCGCGCTGTGCGTGATACAAGCTGAAGCGAGCGCCCACTATCGTTCGACAAGACTATTTTACTGTGTTGGCAGCCGGCTCGGTCCGAGTGGACTGGACATGATGCGGCCATTGATGCCGAGGCGAGCCGAGGATTGACACTGGTGTCCTCCATCAGCAGCCTACCGCACCTCCGCTTGAAATTTTTCTTAGGTAGGGACCCATCACAGTACCAAATCGGCGCGATCTCAGGAACTAGGGCATTCTGCTAGGCTAGACACGGTTTCCTAACGATAGTTTGGCACAAAATACGAAAAATAAACACGCGCGTTTAAACGCACTGCGCTACGTACTATCTTGTGTGCATTTTCCGCATCTCCACGTAATCAGAATATAGCCCCACCTTCTTCAATTGATGGGGCATAAATGGGGCCGTCCACCGACAGTCGACAGTTCCTATACCGACTTGTGTTACTTTCGTAAATAATGAAATTCCGGCCGATGATAGACTGCGTACCGCGTATCGCCACCTCACTCCGCGCAAGTATACTTCGGCTAATACTGACGCTGTTAGTGTACGTGTGGAACTGTCGACGGGTTACCAGGTCTAGGCGATGCGCAAACGCATGCAGTGCACCTTCGTACACTAGGATAGCTCTGTAGATTGTGCCCATGGATGCGAGAGCCCGCCATTGTCGTGGAGTTGGCCAATCGATTGATTTTCTTGCGTGATTCTGCGTTTTCTGCGTGATTATTATTTTGCGCAGGCACTCATTTTCGAAATCCTCCAACATTTTAACTTCTTCCATTAAGTCCATGTTTCACTGTTATTTAGGAAAGAAGGTAAAACTGTGCATTCGTATAATTTCACTCTTGCCTCTATAGTATGATTTCCATAATTTTGCTCTTCTGCCCATCATAATATTTCCCTCATCATGAACCAATACATTTTTCAGTTCGGACTCTTATCATAATTATCGTTATAACCTCCTATATCATTAATTAAATCCCCTCTAGGTATGAATATTTGGTGCATTTTTTGATTACTTGGTTGCCTATTTATATCTCCTTCTCTATCCTTTCTTTGTTGGTAAATTTTATAACCATTAAATTCTAATCTTTTTGATTCAGCTAATCTGGAGCACGACTGAGTGATTTTTGTTACTACTGTACTATCTCCAATTCCTAGAATATCGTCCATATATAATCATTGCCATCTTCTAAAACTACAGACCATCCGCTGACCGCTGTAGAGACGTGCGCCGGGCCTCGAATTTGGCGCACGTCTCCACTGCGGACAGCGCTTCATACTTGAACATCCCCGCTGTTGCGTGCGCATATCCCGCGGAACTGCGCGTCTCATCCGCGCGCAGCGCTTAGGATCAACAGCAAAGCTGTGCCACGCAATCTTGTATCATATGTCTCTCTGGTTCTGTTTCTGGGAACTGGTTCACTGGTTCTGGGCACTGGTTCTGGGAACTGCTGGCACTGGTTCTTGTTACTATATCAATTATCATGCATGGTATACACTTCCCAATAGTAATACGTATTGGAAAATATTGCAATACTGTTATGTCGTATTGCAATTTGCAATATATTGCAATACGGGTTTTGGTCGCAATTAGCTCTAGTACTATAGCCCGCTCACATTGACTGCCGCTGGCGGCCAGCGGCCAGCGGCAGTCAATGTAAGCGGGCTATAGTACTAGAGCTAGATCGCAATATACTCGATCACCCCTATACTGCTATAGTTGTTAGTGACTTACGTCTTAGAGCCTGGCCGTGCTATTGAATGTGTATACATATATATCGCCTTAGAGATGACGTTACGTTAGTAGGCCTATGCACGAGTGAATATTGTTGCACAAAAACATGCAAAAGTGAGGAATTTGGCTTCTATTTCAAGCCACTAGCTGCTTTAACAGAAAACAAATTCATTCGAACGCGCTATTCCGTAACCATCGTAAACATTGACCCCATTCCAACTTGTCAACTTTATTTGACTGTACTTATACTTCATGTAGTTTAATTACTTTACTCTTTAGTCTTTATCAGAACTGATTACTTCATTATCATATGATAATCGGATTGTCAGATCTATACTCTACACAGACTACACAGATCTACACAGACTATAGCAGTGACTCGTGTCGGCATAAGCCTAGTCATAGATAGACTAATCTGAGTCGAAGCAAACCCCATAATTTAGATACGTTCGTATTATTCACCATTACTAATAATTAAACAAGCAATAATCCCGAAACTTACAAAAGTCCTGTCGTGCTTCTTCAGCTAGCAATCGATCATGTGACAGATAAATTTCTTTTATTTACATCGCTTTAGCGGTCACCATTTTTTAACGTATGAACAAGCTCGCTGATTGGTAGGCGTGGATGTAAATAAAATCGCAGTGGCTACGCGTCCGGAACCGGTCGCCTAGCCTCCAGGCTACGCACCCGGAACCGGTCGCCTAGCCTCCAGGCTACGCGTCCGGAACCGGTCGCCTAGCCTCCAGGCTACGCATCCGGACATCCACTCACACAGTGAACGCGCGATTGCGTACACGCGTGACGCTTTGTTGATTGCCGTAAATATACAATATATGCACTGCTGCCGTCTCTCTCTCTCTCTCTCTCTCTCTCTCTCTCTCTCTCTCTCTCTCTCTCTCTCTCTC